AAAAAAAAAAAAAAAAAAAGAAAGAAAGTTTTGACCCTTGGCCAGTGGACCTGATGGCCTGGAGCTCAAGGCTAATGTTAAGCTGTGAGACAGCAGAGATGATCAGAAGAGACAAAGGCCCCTGAGCTATGGGACACCCTATGCAAAGGCTGCAGAGGGAGAAGGAGCCACCAAAGGGTGGTGGACGAGTTTCAGGCAGGTTTGGTGTCTTGGCCGCCCAGGGAAGAAAGCATTTGGAGGAGTGAAGGTCAGTTGTGTCAGATGCCTACCACAGGTCATGCACAGGAGAGGAGGACTGAAGCATGATGGGAGAGGACTGCGGCATGATGGGAGAGGACTGAGGCATGATGGAGTCTCTGCGGGTCTTGAGGAGCACTGCACTCCTCCTTTTTCTCTGAGTAACATTTCAGAGGTCTCCACTGGAAGGAAAATGCCTCCTCAAGACAGTAGCACACACATGTAATCCCAGCACTCAGGTGGCTGAGGCAGGAGGACCGCTGCAAGTTTGAGGCCAGCCTGGGCTATCCAGTGAGTTTGGGGCCGACCAACACTACAAAAGCAAAACCCTGTCTCAAAAACAAAAGCAAAAGACTACTGTGGGCGTGGCTCAGTGGTAGCACACTTCCCTAGCTTGTCTGAGGTTCTGGGTTTGATTCCTAACACCGAAAAAAAGAGAAACAAACTAGTCCAGCCAAAAAATGAGACACTTGCAGCAGTTTTGGAAACTGAGTTATACAGTAAGAAGGTGTTTGGTGGGCGAAGGCTGCTGAGGATCAAGTTCAGGGCCGGGCATGTGTCGGGTAGGTGCTCTGCCACTGAGCTATGCCCCTGGCCTTTGTTTTGTTTTGCTAAAAATCTTGAAGCATAAAATTGTTTGACTTTAGCTAGGGAAAATGTCAGAATCACTGTCACTTAGCTGTAACAACATTTAATTTTCATATAAGGGTTTCCGTTCTTGGAGTAAGATAGTGAGTTAGGAACTACTTTTTAGGGCTGAAAAACTCTTTAACATGGGAGGCCAGGAGGTGAGATCAGAAACGAACAGATTGAAAGAAGCTATTAAGGCTGTTGAATGTAACAGGAATTTTACAGTGTTTTCTAGCAGCAGATTTCAAGTGGTCCCTCAGACAGCGGGAGGCCCTTGAGATTCTCACGCTTTGGTGCGGTTATGGCTCTTTTCACCGCATCTCCACTCGCTTACTTGTCTCTTCCCTGTGATCACTTTTGCACCAATGGTGTAAAAGGAGAAGTGAGTAAAACTGTTGGTGCCGCCACACAAGCCTAGGTGTGCTGTCGGCATTGTGTTCTTCCCCATGTGGTGGGTGCTCTCTGTGGAGAGAGGAAAGCCAGTTTCACTTAAGAACGGCCTTGGGTGAAGAGTGAAGTGTAAGGCAGATCACAGGGCTCTCTCGCTTTCTGCGCCGAAATGGGACCAGGCCTGCAGTACCTCTGCGTGCTGTGGGAGGACGGCGTCTTGAGGACCAGCACACTGGCAGTTCTTTGCAATGAGAGCTAAATTCAGGACTTTTTCATGAATTACCGTTTTCATTTTGGAAAGCAACTCAGAGACAAACTAAAGTTACTAGATTTGGGTGTTTGGCAGACATCTTTTTCCCAGATGAATGAAGCAAGCCTGGCATTTCAAGGGAAACAGCCGACAGCATTCGGTGCCAGTGACAAAGGAGGAGCTCTCGGGAGGAAATGAGGACTTTGGCACACTGGTCTCCACCGCCAGGAGCTCGACAGCTTCCTCGCGCTTGGAGACTTAGCTGGTGACTGAGTGGCGACACTCAAGTGTGGCTTTTGGATATTGTATAATGAGATGTGTCAACACTGGGAGATCGGCATAGCTCAGTGAACCAGTGTTTTCCAAATGACAAGTGAGGGTGGCCCAGAATCTTATCCCAGCAAGAGACCCATCCGCAGAGCCCGTTAGACTTCTGCTTCTGACCAGGATGGAGCGACAAGGACACCTGACGGCTGATGACGCCGAGCAGCTATCTGCGGTCTTCTTACTGTTTGGACATCTTCTTTGGAGAGATGTCCGCTCATTTAAAAAGTCACATGAGTCATCTTTCATTGTGAAGCTCTGACTTTCATTGTGGAGATGTTCTGTTAGGCTCTTCCTCCGGCTTTGCTGTTAACCATCCTGTGGGCTTCCCAGCTTATCCAAGACCTCCACGTTCAGCAGCCATTGTCAACAAACAGAACAGGAAGTAGTGTGGACACAGTTACTTAGATGTTCATATTTTCTTGCCTTTTTCCCCCTTTTTTTTGTTACCGGGGATTGAATTTGGGTTCTGACATTTTCAAGGCAGGCGGTGGAACCACCGAGCTAAACCTCTGACCCTTGCCCTGTCTCTTTAAACTTGAACGTAAATTGAGCTCAGTCTCTTTTTTTTTGTTTGTTTTGTTTTGTTTTGTTTTTTGAGACAGGGTCTCACTATGTAGTTGAGACTGACCTGGAACTCACTTATGTAGCCCAGGCTGGTCTGAGACTCACAGTTGCCTCAGCCTCCCGAGTGCTGGGGTTACAGGTGTGTGCCACCACACCCAGTGATCTTTTTTTTTTTTTTTTTTTT